CAGTCACCATCATAATTTGACTTCAGGATTACACATGCATTTTAGATTTCTCCCAGAAATATTTCGGTTTTGAGTCCCAATCCATCTCAATTCTCTTAGAGTGCATACACTGTAGAATTAATGCATTTTGATCCAACTTTCACTGCCATGGTTCAATGCAATAGGTTCCTGAGAGTTTACTTATTCATTTATTTACTTCATTTATATCTCGCTCTTTTCACCCCAAGTGGGACTCAGAAAGGCGTACATCATATATCTAGGCAAACATCCAATGCCTCAATAATACATACAATTAAAACATAGCATAAAATAATTAAAACAGTAGACATAAAATACAATTTAATACCATTAAATATATCAGACATGATAAATCCAATACGCAAACAACGCATGGCACCAATCCTTAAACATAAATCAGCTGCTTCATTTCTAATTGTGTCATGACAAGATGATACATTTGTTTCCATCACTCAACAAATGCCTGTCTGAATAGTCAAATTTTCACTTGTTTCCTAAATGCCAGGAGGGAAGAGACTGATCTGATCTCACTAGAAAGGGAATTCCACAGCCAAGGGGTCACCCCAAGAAGGCCCTGTCTCTCGTCCACACTAATCGAACCTGCAAAGGCGGTGGAATCGAGAGCAGAACCTTCCCAGAAGATCTTAGTACTCTTACTGGCTCGGAAAGGCAGTGTTTCTCAACCTGGAGCTCAGGACTCTTGGGGGGGGGGGCCACAAGGAGGTGTCAGAGGAGTTGCCAAAGACCGTCAGAAAACACAGTATTTTCTGTTGATCATGGCGGTTTGGTATGGGAAGTTTGGCCCAATTCCATGGTCAGTCGGGTTCAGAATGCTCTTTGATTATAAGTGAACTATACATCCTAGCAACTTCAACTCCCAGATGTCAAGATCTATTTTCCCCAAACTCCACCACTTTTCACATTTGGGCATATTGAGGACTCGTGCCCAGTTTGGTCCAAAATCATCACTGTTTTGAGTCCTCAGTGCTCTTTGGATATAGGTGAACTACAACCCCAAACCCCAAAGTCAATGCCCATCAAACCCTTCTAATAATTTATATTGGTCATGGGAGTTTTATGTGCCAGGTTTGTTCAGTTCCATCATTGGTGGAGTTCAGAATGCTCTTTGATTGTAGGTAAGCTATAAATCCCAGCCACTACAACTCCCAAATGACAAATTAAATCTCCACCCCCAACCCCACCAGTATTCAAATTTGGGCATATCAGGTATTTGTGTCAAATTTGGTCCAGTGTATGAAAATATATCCTGCATATCAGATATTTACATTACAATTAATAACAGTAGCAAATTTACAGTTATGAGGTAGCAATGAAAATAATTTTATGGTTGGGGGTCATCACAACATGAGGAACTATATTAAGGGCCATGGCATCAGGAAGGTTGAAAACCACTGGTTTAGGGTTTTATAGGCTAAAGCCAGAACTTGGTAGCTGACTGGCAGCCAGTGGAGCTGACGCAACAGGGGGGTGTGAGCAACCTGGCTGCCGCCCATTGGACTACTTGAAGTTTCCGAGGAGTCTTCAAAGGCAACCCCATGTAGAGAGTGTTGCAGTAGTCTATTGGAGATGTGACGAGAGCATGAACCACCATGGAGAGTTGTAGTTCTTTACAAGGTATTTAGCCTTCTTCACCTTAGATGCTAGTGCCTCACCATACTACAATTCTCAGAATTTTAGATTATTGAGCCATGGCAGATGCATGCTAAGAATTAATAAAATAACATGCCATGGCTTCTGAATGTTGCTTGCAGACAATGTCCATGTTTGTTTAGCAAAAAGTCTGTTGTTGTTGTTCATTCGTTCAGTCATTTCTGACTCTTCGTGACCTCATGAACCAGTCCACGCTAGAGCTCCCTGTTGGGCGTCACCACCCCCAGCTCCTTCAAGGTCAATCCAGTCACTTCAAAGATCCCATCCATCCATCTTGCCCTTTGTTGGCCCCTCTTCCTTTTTCCTTCCATTTTCTTCTCTAAGCTTTCCTTTCTTCTCATGATGTGGCCAAAGTACTTCATCTTTGCCTCTACTATCCTTCCCTCCAACGAGCAGTCGGGCTTTATTTCCTGAAGTATGGACTGGTTGGATCTAGAAATACAAAATTCACAATCCAACAAGGTTTACAGTTGTATGTGAACCCAGCCAGGACTAGGAAGAAAAAATAATTTTCCTTTGGTCTGTTAGAAAACAGTTCTGCTACATGTCTCTATTTTTACACAGCACCAAAGCTGTTCTTCCCATGCGCCAAAATTCCCTTCTAGAATTAGTAGGCCTCAAAGAATCAAGCTCACAAAAAACAGAACATGTTTTTTTCTGCCAGCTATTCTCACTTCGGATTAGGCTTCAAGCCAGGTATTTTCCTAAATTCCATATTTTAATTGGCATGCAGTGAGATTATAGTTTATAATGAACAAGGACGTAAATGAAAAATGGAATCACCCAATGCTACTTTGTGGGGCATGCACTGCTGCAGCATCACAGACATTAGCTGACGAAACTCTTTTAGCAGAATGAGATCAGCCAGTTGTAAAAACACAAAGTTGCACCAAATTACTATTGCAGAAATTGCAGTTGCAGTCATCTGTCTTTTGAATCAAAGTTATTTTGCTTCCCAAATGGGCCAACACATACTGCAGGGTCATACAAATGACACCACACGCATTTGGTATAAAACCTGCTTTATCCTTGAGGACTTTGAAGAATGTATTTGTGTTTCTTGCCACTTATGTGACAATCATTTTTAACAAGCTATTTTAACCAGTTGCGTTAGGAAAAGCAGTCTTCATTTGTTTGGGTGCCACACTTTTTTGGATGCTACATGAAAAGTGTCTAGCACAGTGATTCTCAACCTGGGGTCCCCAGATGTTTTTGGCCTACAACTCGCAGAAATCCTAGCAGCTGATAAACTGGCTGAGATTTCTGGGAGTTGTAGGCCAAAAACATCTGGGGACCCCAGGTTGAGAACCACTGCCATCTGTATGAACAGGTCGCTGGTAACTATAATGCAGTGTTTCTCAACCTTCCTAATGCCGCAACCTCTTAATACAGTTCCTCGTGTTGTGATGACCCTCCAACCATAATATAATTTTTGTTGCTACTTCATAACTGTAATTTCAGGCACAAATATCTGATATGCCTAAATTTGAATACTGGTGGGGTTGAGGGGGTTTGATTTTGTCATTTGGGAGTTGTAGTTGCTGGGATTTATAGCTAAGCTACAACCAAAGAGCATGCTGAACTCCACCAACAAGGGAATTGAACCAAACTTGGCACACAGAACTACCATGATCAAGAGAAAATACTGGAAGGGTTTGGTGGGCACTGACCTTGGGTTTTGGAGCTGTAGTTCACCTACATCCAGAGAGCACTGTGGACTCAAACAATGATAGATCTGGACCAAACTTGGCACAAATACTTAATGTGCCCAAATGTGAACACTGGTGGAGTTTGTGGAAAATAGACTTTGACATTTGGGAATTATAGTTGCTGAGATTTATAGTTCGCCTACAATGAAAAAAGAGCAGTCTGAATCCCACCAACGATAGAACTGGGCCAAACTTCCCACACAGAACCCCCATGCCTTGAAGGGATTCGCTGGTGTGAGCTTCCCTCCAGCCTTACACGCTCTCATTCGCCCGCATATGTACACCATGCTGCCATATGCCGAGCATACCTGCTCTCCCCTCCTCACTTAGGTGATCGTTGGACCATTTGAAGCTTCCGAGCAGTCTTCAGAGGCAACCACACATAGAGAACGTTGCAGTAGTCTAAGCGGGATGTGACTAGAGCATGAACTACAGCGGCCAAGTCAGGCTTCCCAAGGTACGGGCGCAGCTGGCGCACTAGTTTTAACTGTGCGAATGCTCCCCTGGTCACCGCTGAAACCTGAGGTTCCAGGCTCAGCGATGAGTCCAAGATCACACCCAAGCTGCGAACCTGCGTCTTCAGGGGGAGTGTGACCCCGTCCAACACAGGCTGTAACCCTATACCCTGTTCGGCCTTGCGACTGACCAGGAGTACCCCTGTCTTGTCTGGATTCAATTTCAATTTGTTCGCCCTCATCCAGACCGTCACAGCGGCCAAGCACCGCTTCAGGACCTGAACAGCCTCCTTAGTAGTAGGTGGAAAGGAGTGACAGAGTTGGACATCATCTGCGTACAGATGACATCGTACCCCGAAACTCCGGATGACCTCTCCCAGCGGCTTCATGTAGATGTTAAACAACATGGGAGGCAATATTGAACCCTGAGGAACTTCACAAGACAATGGTTGTGGGGTTAAACAGATGTCTCCCAATAACACCTTCTGAGATCGACCTTCTAGGAAGGACCGGAGCCACTGCAGAACAGTGCCTCCAAGGCCCATTCCCGAGAGGCGCCCCAGAAGGATACAGTGGTCGACGGTATTGAAGGCCGCTGAGAGGTCCAGCAGAACTAGCAGGGACACACTCCCCCTGTCTAGCTCCCGGCGAAGATCATCAACTAAGGCGACCAAGACTGTCAGTTCCATGTCCCGGCCTAAAGCCAGACTGTGCCGAATCCAGAAAATCCGTGTCGTCCAAGAATACCTGGAGTTGTGAAGCCACCACACGTTCCAGGCCCTGAAGGTATTCTTAAAGGGCAAGGGAAGCTTCAAAGAAACAGTTTTCACAATCAGTTTTAAATTCTATAATCCTGTTTAGGATGTCAATGCAAAAAGTATCAGGTCTCTATTACACCAACACCATTATTAATTTCCACAAATGCCATAATTCAGACTAAAATATTATCAAGTGTAAATAACACCTGTATACATCACTGACACACAGACAAAATCAGAGGTAAACATACTTTGATTGGACAAGAAAGGTCTGATTATCCTTCTCTCTCATATCCCAAACAGTTACAGTGAAAAAGCAGAGCACCTCACCATGTCAGTAACTACTCAAATATGAGTAAACTCTGATAGCATTAACCACTCTGACTCACCTGTTCACTCTCCGAGGACACTTATCAGGCTTAATATCCACCTCATAGAGGTAGACGTCAATCTTTGGGATTTCAACTTGGAAGCAGTTGGCCAGCAGTTTAATGGGCTTGCCCATGGTGCCATAGCCAGGCCGTCGGGGCACCATGAGCAGGGGCTGAGCCCCAACGGGTCCTGTGAGAAAAAGAGGGGGAAAGTTTAGTGTTTTACACTTTACAAGAATAAAATCCAACCACTTCTTCACATTGCATAAAATGCATGTTAAGTCCATGTATTATCATTGTCACTGTTGTTTATTTCAATAGCAGTGTCAATGTTCATTGAGCTCTGCAAATAAAAAAACCCAAAATAGTTGGTCCCGCTAAAGGAATACAAAATACAGAAGATCTCAACTAGAAGACTCCTAGTTCTGCTTACTATACCTTTCCATACTCAGAAATTAAGCATCTTCCTAAAGAAATGATTTTATTATGTCAGGCTAATATATTCAGGCTGAGTATCTCTTATCAGAAATGCTCGGGACCTTAAGTAATTTGGATTTAGGATTTATTTTCCCGGATTTTGGAATATTTGTGTATCTGTGTGTATATAAAAAGAGTGTGTGTGTTCTGCCCTCTCACTATCTTAACTACATGGAAGGTGAAGAGAACAGATCAGAGACATACACACAAACATACACATACACACACAGAGAGAGAAAAGAAATACAAAAGAATTGGAAAGTCATTTATGCTGAAAGAAATACAACAAATCTATATAAATAAAAATGTAATGTTCGTTTGTGGGATTAACAGAACTCAAAAAAAACTTGACGAATTGACATGAAATTTGGACACTACACCCCTAACAGACCAATGAGTGACCATCACTCATAAAAACAGTGGAAAAGACTTAAACCCCCCCCCCAAAAAAAAACCTAAATGATGAAAACCTAAATGACAATATAGAAAAAAGGGAAGGAAAAGGGAGGGAGGGAAGGATGGGGAGAAAGAAAATAAGAAAGAGAGAAAGAGGGAGGGAAAGAAAGAAGGAAGGAAAGAGAGAAGGAAGGAAAGAGGTAGAGAAAGAAGAAAGGAGAAGGAAAAGAAAAAGGGAGGAAGAAAGGAAAGAGGTAGAGAAGGAAGGAAGGAGAGAAGGAAAGAAAATAAGGGAAGGAAGGAAAGAGGGAGCGAAGGAAGGAGGGAAAGAAGGAAAGAAAGAGGGAGAGAAGAAAAGAGAGAAAGAAGGAAGGAAAGACAGAAGGAAGGAAAGAGGTAGAGAAGGAAGAAAGGAGAGGAAAAGGGGAAAGAAAAAGGGAGGGAAAGGAAGGAAAGAGCAAGGGAAGGAAGGAGAGAAAGAAAGAAGAGAAAGAGGGAGGAAACATTGGCCACAGCAATGCGTGGCGGGTACAGCTAGCATAGTATAAAATCAAACAAAACAAATATCAAACAATATTATCGTTATAATATTCATTGATATTCTCCTAAGACAGCTAACAATATATTTCATAACAATACAGATTAAAAGCTTGAATATAAAAGTTATTTCACAATCCACACTTTATAAAATTAAAAAATTAACTTTAAAAACATTCCAATTCATTAAAAGACAATACAAACCATGGTGCAACACAGCACATCTTTAAAAGTACATCCCATTACCTCCTGGGCAAAAAAAACCTTTTATATTTATGGAGAAACATGTAGTGACTAAAATGGCTACATGAAAACATGTTCAGGTGCATAAAACTAATTCACATTCAGTCCATAATATCAGCAATTCAGCCCAAAGTTTATCTAGTCTGACCCTTCTGTGAGACGGAGTATTCAGCGCTTGCCAAAGATCCATTCAGCACAAACCAAACTGTGCCAATAGAGGAGACAAAGGGCTTGCAGAACAAAAAGCTCATAATTATTCAAGCAAACAAACCACACCATCCAAACTCTCCAAAGGGTGAGTTCTGTATAGTGATCAGGTAGATTGAACAGATAAGCAAAAGCACCACATTTCAAAGCCAAATTACATACAGTGAGAAAAACTCTCCCTGACTCCTGTTGGGCACAGAAATTGTTCATTAACTCACCCAACTCAATTTGTGATTTAATGAACTTATTTGGTTCTGTAACTGTATCGATCTAACAGGTTTACACATCCAACAATTTAAAGCAGTGTTTCTCAACCTTCCCAATGCCATGACACAGTTCCTCAAGTTGTGGTGACCCCCAACCATAACATTCTTTTCGTTGCCACTTCATAACTGTAATTTTGCTACTGTTATGAATCATAATGTAAATATCTAACATGCAGGATGTATTTTCATTCATTGGACCAAATTTGGCACAAATACCCAATACGCCCACATTTGAATGCTGGTGAGGTTGAGAGGGATTGATTTTGTCACCTGGGAGTTGTAGTTGCTGGGATTTATAGTTAGCCTACAATCAAAGAAGCAAAAACCATCAGCATTGAAGTGATGGTCCTCCATCATCAACTCCGCTGGACCGGCCACGTTGTCCGGATGCCCGACCACCGTCTCCCAAAGCAGTTGCTCTACTCTGAACTCAAGAACGGAAAACGGAATGTTGGTGGACAGGAAAAGAGATTTAAAGATGGGCTCAAAGCCAACCTTAAAAACTCTGGCATAGACACTGAGAACTGGGAAGCCCTGGCCCTTGAGTGCTCCAGCTGGAGGTCAGCTGTGACCAGCAGTGCTGCAGAATTTGAAGAGGCACGAATGGAGGGTAAAAGAGAGAAACGTGCCAAGAGGAAGGCGCGTCAAGCCAACCCCGACCGAGACTGCCTTCCACCTGGAAACCAATGCCCTCACTGCGGAAGAAGATGCAGATCAAGAATAGGGCTTCACAGTCACCTACGGATCCACCAGAATACTGATCCTGGAAGACTATCCTACTTAGCAAACAAGGGATCGCCTAAGTAAGTAAGCAAAGAGCATTCTGAAGTCCACCAAAGACGGAATTAAACCAAACTTGAGACAGAGAACTGCCATGACCAACAGAAAATACTGGAAGGTTTGGTGGGCATTGACATTGAGTTTTGGAGTTGTAGTTCACCTACATCCAGAGAGCACTGCAGACTCAAACAATGAGCGATCTGGACCAAACTTGGCAGGAATACTCAGTATGCCCAAATGTGAACACTGGTGGAGTTTGGGGAAAATAGACCTTGACCTCTGGGAGTTGTGGTTGCTCGGATTTAGAGTTCACCTACAATCAAAGAGCATTCAGAACCCCATCAACGATAGAATTGGGCCAAACTTCCCACACAGAACCCCCATGCCTTGAAAGGACTTGCTGGCATGAACCTCCCTCCAGCCTTACACGCTGTCCCTCGCCCGCACATGTGTACCATGATGCCATGTGCTGAGCACACCTGCTCTCCCTTCCCTGCTTGGAATCTGCTACTTGTGTTTATGTTGTCATGTAATGTGGGCATTGAACTGTGCCTTGCTTGTGTAAGCCGCCCTGAGTCCCCCCCGGGGTGAGAAGGTCGGGGTATAAGTGACCGTAATAAATAAATAATATATCTCAGAAACAGCCCTTCCCTTGGCTGAGAGGCCGACCAATCACAATGGAGAAGGGCTTTGATTGGAGGATTTCACTGTCTGTTTCCAAAAGGGAAGAGAAGGACAGTCAGAGAGATCTTTGGCCTTCTCTGCCAAAGGGGTTCCCAAGACCATCAGAAATATATGTGTTTTTATTGTCTTTGGCAACCCCGACCCTCAGGTTGAAAAACGCTGCTTTAAAGCCTTTCTCTTGGTTACGACATCAAATGTACTCATATTCCACTGGTAGTTATTAATCCTTACATTTGCAAAGTTCTTTGCAATATATGTGTGTTCTTCCCATCAAAACACGTCTACTAGTAATATATTGCCCCCGTCTTCATTTTTATGAAGCTAACCAAAGTGCTTGGAGTAGATACATTCCTGCCATCATCACTTCCATTTGTTTTCAGCTGAAATTCATTATTCCGATAAATATGAACCAAACCATCAAACAGCTAGCACTAGCGCTCTCTCTCTCTCTCTCTCTCTCTCTAAATTCCATCATTTAACTGTTGTAATCTCTGCTTCCATGATTCCTGCATAGTAACACGTAAGATCAGAAAGGTAAATCTAGTCTGGAAACAGGGAAGGAGCATAAAAGAACCTTCTTTTCCAAAGGTGGAAATAATGTTGTCTTCCAGATGTTACTGGATGACCCTACCCAGCGTTCCTCTGCTAGAAAGGGTTTCTGGAACATACAGTGCAACAAAATCTGAAGATGTGCATAATTCCCATTTCTGCAAAAGAAAATGCATAGTTTTTGAACATGAAACCAGCACCACAGCCACAAGCCACCCATGATTCAGAAAGAAGCTAATGTTTAGCTGCTCCAGAGATGTGGACAGATCCAGTCAATGCCTCTTGAGTTCTAAGAATGTAATCCATCAAGGCCAAGGCATCAATCAATCCATCCAAGGAAAAAGGGAATCCTCTACATTGGGAAAACAGCTCATTTCAATGCCTAGTAATCTGGGATGAGTATTCATAAACCCATACCTGTTCTCGCAGCATAGGTCAAGCAATGAATCCCAACTATCTAACCCGGTGATTCCCAATCTTTATTTGACCAGGGATCACGCTCCAACATTAGTACCGAAAGGGTTATGAATCGGTTTTTCACCAACTTTAGATTTGGTTTGGTTATTCAGGGTGCTGATTCACATCAGCTCTATTTTCCGATACACAACATATGCCATCCAGTAGTCGCCATCTACTTGCCCACAAAAAACCATACATAACACGCTAGAGCTGATGTGGTAGTGGTAACCTTTTGTGGGGAGTCAACCTCTTCTCTCTTGACATGCCTATTGCCTTGGCACTATAAGAGGATTTTGCAAGACCAGTCGCTCCCGTTGCCACGGCAACAGTGTAGTAATGGAGAGCCTGCGGACCATATTTTCGTTCTTTCAGACCACTGGTAGACCAAATGAAGGAAACACTGAGCAGCATTCCGTGGACACAGATACTAAAAGACAAGGGAGTTACGGATGGATGGGAATTTCTCAAGAGTGAAATACTCAAGGCACAATTGCAAACTGTGCCAACAAAGAGAAAAAATAGGACAAGTGCAAAGAAGCCAGAATGGATGTCCAAAGAACTTCTAACTGTGCTAAAACACAAAAGAGACATG